TGATGACTACAGTCTAGTTTGGAGGACAGTATATTCAGAATCATAACATTTTAATTAAAATACACAACACATTCATATAACTGGGCTGTTGACTCAACGTCTTCTAGTTTCATGTGACAACTTGCCCCAGTCTCCCTTATATATGTGAATGCTGATTGGAATGCTTACCATTAAGAAAAGAAGCTGTAAAGGTAAGAAAAGACAACAATCCCCAGAATCAAACAGCAAAGCATGATCATCATTTTCTTCTACAGAGAGAAAGACGCATGTGTATGAGACAGTAAAGACAAATAATAGAGAACAGGAGTAAGTTAGAAAAAGCACATAAGAAGGGAAATAAATTCATGCCACTAAGTTCTCACGTCTACTAAAAAAAATCATGCACAATTCTTTTAAAATGACAGAAGGGAGAAAGAGGAATAAAACAAAGGAAAGGTTTAGTCTGTGTCTAGCAAGCACTCACTTACCATCAGGTGTAGAGCACATATATAAATACAAACCAAACAAGTTCTTCTGTGCTTCCTAATAACATGATTCTGCTTTTTGTGCAAAGAATATACGTACAGATCACAAACCTGCTGATATTACCTCAGTCACTCAGCCGAGCCTAAACCTGCCCTGCCAGCTTCAGACAGGGGATCTAACTGAGGCTTTTTAACTTCCTCTGTGTCAGTCAGTAAAGGATAGTTCAAGGCCAAACAAAGTATGAAAGCTTATATCGTCAACAGCATAACAGACCTACTGTCATGAAATGACTTGTCCCCAAACAGTCTCCATGTGTAGAATATTACTGCTAATGCACAGATACTGTATGTCTTCAAAAAACAACAACAACATGTCACATGACATCACAAACATCTTAAGTTAGAGAATACATTATAGAATAAAATTAGTGTCTTAAATTAAGAGGCTGCATTTTAAGACCAGATGCATCACAACGATGCAATGAAAGCTGTCCCAATTCAAAGTATCCGTCAAATGCTGCCCCGTCTCCCGGTCAATGAAGGATACGAATAATGAATCCTTCATGGCCCAGACTATCCCAAGATTCATTGTGCGCTGGTGATGACAGAAACAAAGTATGAAAGCTTATATCGTCAACAGCATAACAGACCTACTGTCATGAAATGACTTGTCCCCAAACAGTCTCCATGTGTAGAATATTACTGCTAATGCACAGATACTGTATGTCTTCAAAAAACAACAACAACATGTCACATGACATCACAAACATCTTAAGTTAGAGAATACATTATAGAATAAAATTAGTGTCTTAAATTAAGAGGCTGCATTTTAAGACCAGATGCATCACAACGATGCAATGAAAGCTGTCCCAATTCAAAGTATCCGTCCAATGCTGCCCCGTCTCCCGGTCAATGAAGGATACGAATAATGAATCCTTCATGGCCCAGACTATCCCAAGATTCATTGTGCGCTGGTGATGACATGATTTGTTACATTTATTTATTTTGCGAGAGAGAGAGAATGCCAGATTTCACTTTCAACTTAATCCAATCTAATGTTACAAAAAAACAAAACAATTTAAATATTGACATATCTTAAGATGTGATTTTATAGTTAGTTGAGACTTTTTATTATCTGCATAAATGGACCAAGGTAAAGATATTTAGACAGGTTGTGACCCATGCAATCTTCTGACTGTCTCATTTAACAACGCTTGGTTCAATCTTTGCAGCCTTCGAAGGCATGGCCATATATCCAATTCTTTCACAATTAGGGCTGTGCAATATATCGAAATTATCAAAATATCGCAAATGTACATATCCGCAATATGCATATTGCTACAGCTTGCAATATTTGGGGCCATGAACAAAATACAAAGAGAAAATCACTCACTGCTCTTACCTAAATAACCTTTGTAGTTTCAATAAGAATCAGTGCATATTGAATTCATAGAGTAAATACTAAGCAGTGTTTTATTTTTCCTATTTATTATACAGTTCCTAAACTCATGTTAAAATTATTACATTAATGTTAAAATTCCATTTTTATGTAATGCTCGAATAATTTATTACAAGGCACACTGAAAACTAAGTGATACTTATAATTTGAATAGATAACTAACTAGTAAATTTAAGTACTGTGATGAGATTTAGCACTTTAGGTTTGGGTTTTTAATAATTTTTTTGCTGGTCTGTAACCACATATTTATGACTGGGAATAACAGTTTAAGTAATAGTGTAACTATTGAACCCATACTCACATATAAACCCATATTCGCTGACTGCTAAATATTAATATGATTTATTATATAAACTAATGACAGTTTTATGATAATGATTCCCATGAATCCATCCATTAATTTCTCAAATATGAACAAAATACTTAGAAAACATATAATGTAATTTATTCCTTTGGTTAAATCCCATACAGATGTTCATCACATTAAAAACATAAACATGTAAATTTCTTCCATTCTGGACGACCCATCAAAGCTTAGCTTATTGTGCTAATTTCACAGGGATCCAAAATAGAAGCTGAAATCATATCGGAGCCCTTTTGATCAGGAACAGTTCAGTAGCTCAACCAGCAGATGTAGCCATTGATGTGTCTTATGAAAACACAATCCAATAAAAACATTAGGTTACCTTTCCCTTGTAAGTCTCATAAAAATCCCTTATTCTGTGCTCATGGATTTAAAATGTGCTTCCTTCAAACGCCATTCCTGGCATGTAGTAGAAGTTCCTTCACGTCCTTACAAAAAAAAACACAATCTGTTTCCTTGACCATCACTAGGGTTCCAGCAGAGTAGATTCCCATTGGTTTGTGTTGATGAAGGGAGGGGCCACAGGTACAGGGGGCGGAGCTTTCATCTTGACGTACTTCCAAGGAAAAACAGTGAGGATGGAAAGGAGTGGAGGAAATGATCATCTATAATAATAAAGAGTTCATGAGCAGCCACAGAGGTTATCATAGAACCTGTGTGAGGATGATGATGAGGATGATGATGAGCACCACAGCACCAATCACACCCAGTATGATAATCTTCTACAAGAGACGGAAAAAAAACATGATCCATTAATCCAAAAGCAACCATCTAAAGTCTTCAACCCTTCACCAGCATTACAAACAACAGAGCCTAACAGAACCAAAACGCACAGAGAACATAGAAATGAACTCCACAGCCAAACCAAAGGATGCTCAGGAGATCCCAAAGCCCAGAGAAAGCATGCTTTACATCCCTGAGGAAGACTAGAGAAGATCAGCTAAAATCCCGGTCACCAGCTCCATGTCTGCATAACATCAAGCACCCACACCATTCCCAGTTCCCAAACCTTACACATGTTCCTCTGAAATGTACTCACCAGAGCCTTTATCTCAGACCTACAGATAAACCCACTATCAAAGCAATAACGGCCAAAACTGCCAAAACCACAGACACTATAATAATGATTTTCTGTGAGGAAACACACATACAAACACATCTGTTAGCATCTACTTTAACATTTGAGTAACAAATAAACAGCTCACTAAGATATAAAGACACAACATCCAGTCTGGTCCAAAACATGATCTTTGATGGAAAGATATTCATACATGATATTAATTTCAGGACTGGGTATTGCATTTATGGAAAAGACAAAGGGATATTTCACCCAAAAATGAAAATTCTGTCATTAATTACTCACCCTTATGTCATTCCAAACCAGTAAGATCTTCGTTTATCTTCAAAACACAAATGAAGATATTTTTGATTAAATCTGAGAGCTTTCTGACCCTCTATAGACAACAATGCAACTTACACGTTCAAGGCCCAGAAAGGAAGTAAAGACATCGTTAAAATAGTCCATGTGACATCAGTGGTTCAACCTTAAAGGGGTCATATGATGCGGTTAAAATTTTTTCTTTCTCTTTGGAGTGTTACAAGCTCTTAGTGCATAAAGAAGATCTGTAAAGTTGCAAAGACTAAAGTCTCAAATCCAAAGAGATATTCTTTATAAAAGTTAAAGAGTCAGCCACACCTACCTAAAACAGCTCGTTCTAACACGCCCCCACATATCTACATCACTATCTGGGAAGATTTGCATAACACCGCCCAAATGTTCACGCAAAGAAAGAAGGTGTAACTTTTATTCTCGCTGTAGTATTGTTGTTGCCGCCGCCGCCATGTCGTGAAGGCGCTGTGTGTTTCATTGTGAAAGCGAAACTACTTTGTTTGGCCTTCCAAAAGAGGACACAACTAGAAATCAGTGGTTAAGTTGTATTTACAACACTGTTCCAGAACAGTTCAATCCAAATATTCAGATGTGTGCACCACATTTTATGGAGGACTGTATCCTGATCCTGAGAGCAGACTACAATGCCGGCTGTTCTGACTCACAGACTGTAAGTACGTTTTTTTATATTTAAAGAATTTGCCGCTGATGATTCAAACTCGAGTTTTGGGCAGTGTAGAGTAGGGCTTGTTGTTTGTCATTTCTCCGATCACAAATGCAGACATGGTTTTATGTTTAAACGGCGCGATGCAACGCAACGCGTAAAAAGACAGTATAAGTCATTATAATCTGTAATTATGTCCCCAATGAATGCAACAAATGCCTCGTTTATAATGGGTTTTAATGTTTTTGTCTCGTCGCACCGGCCGGACAGGGCATCACAGTATGGTAAGGGGCATAACATTTCCGTCACACGCTTGAGGTATTCGGCCAATCACAACGCACTGGATAGCTGGCCAATCAGAGCACACCTCGCTTTTCAGACCGATGAGCTTTGTAAAAATCGATGCGTTTCAGAAAGGCGGGGCATAGAGGAGAAACAATAATGTACAGTATGGGGAAAATAATGTGTTTTTTTAACCTAAAACCGCATAAACACATTTCATTACACCAAATACACAAAATAATGTTCTTTTTAGCAGCATCATATGACCCCTTTAATTTTATGAATCTACGAAAATACTTTTTGTGCACAAAAATAATGACTTTATTCACCAATTTCTTGTCTTCCATGTCCGTATTCAACACGCGTTCACAAGAGTACCACGACGCATGCGTGTGCATTTCTTTGCCTGCAAACAAGGTGCAGTGCATCCAGGTTCTACGTCAGAACACCGGCTCCTGAGCCGGCAGCCCCACTGTCGTGAATGCATGTTGAAGACTGACAGGGAATAGAAGAAACTTGAATAAAGTCGTTATTTTTGTTTTCTTTGGACTCAAAAAAGTATTCTCGTAGCTTCATAAAATTACAGTTGAACCACTGATGTCACATGGACTATTTTAACGATTTCTTTTTTTAACATTTCTGGGTCTTGAACGTGTAAGTTGCGTTGCTGTCTATACAGTCAGAAAGCTCTCGGATTTCATCAAAAATATCTTCATTTGTGTTCTGAAGATGAATGAAGGTCTTACAGGTTTGGAACAACATGAGGGTGAGAAATTAATGACAGAATTTTTATTTTTGGGTGAATTATACCTTTAATGTCTAGAAAACTATCATTGAAGATTCCAAAAATATATTCACATTTAAAAAGAAGGAAGAAAGAAAGAAAGAAAGAAAGAAAGAAGGAAAGAAAGAAAGCTTGTGCGCCACTCATCATATTCATCATTTTCAACCCAAATTACTTTTTTAATATGATGTATTTCCAGATGAACCTCAGGGAATCTCAGAATTTGTCTCTTCATCTTTGATACGCAGTTTCCAAACTTATTTTGTACATCTTGATATCTGTCTTGGTTTACATTCCACTCGCAATAAACCTTCATGTTTAATCATAACTTGTTGCAGTTTTGATTAATTGTATTACTTTTGTATTCTTTGTAGCACTTTTGTTCATGCCTCAATATGTAACTCTTAAATAGATTTTTATATAATTTTATGTGATTTATCACTATACATTTAAAGGGACAGTTCACCCAAAAATTAACTTTCTGTATGACTTTCTTTATTCTGTGCAACATAAAAGATAATTTGAGAATAATTGTAATTTTGCCCATACAATGGAAGTCAATGGGATCCAGTGCTGTTCGGTTCCCAAAACTCCTCAAAATATATTATATTGCGTTCCACAGAAGTCATACAGGTTTGAAACGACATGAGGATGGGGTAAATGATGACCGTTTCCATTTCTGGGTGGAGTGTTCCTTTAAATTTAATATCAAAATCTTTTGTACCTGAACAATGACAATAAAGAGAAGTAGTTCCAGAGCCGGAGTATTTTTATACACATGCACGTGTTTTCTGTGATTTTATCTGTATAAAGCAGCAAAAAGACCGAAATTGTTACAAACCCCTGACTTCATGAATGGAGGTGACAGATCAACCAATGCTAACTTTCGTTTGCATCAAAACAAGCAGGTATTCCTCACATTTTAACACAGAACAGCTTTGTTAAAATGTGTCCTTCTCAGCTATGTGTGTAAAAAATTTGTTGCTGTTATTATGTCATGAAAAATGAACACGTGTGGCTTAACATTGTTTTTTCATCACCTGAGATACACTGGAAGTTTCAGGGCGTATCAGGATTAGTAATAATCACTGGGTTTGTTTGTGTGCGTGTGACGTCAGTGGGTTTGGACACAGTAAGGAGAGGCAGGGCGGGACGGAGGGGCGGGGCCTGATATTCATCATGAACTCACACGTCGAGCCTCCTGCTGATATTTAGCGGCTTTTTTAGTGTCAGCAACCGCCCGCTCCACAAAACCCACTGACTGGTCCATGTTGTTCTCAATCCTCTCAATCATACCGCCCTACAGTGGATTTTGGGTGAAGAAGAAAGAAGGAAAAAGAAAGAGAAAAGGAAATAGAGAAGAGAGAGAGAGAGAGAGAGAGAGAGAGAGAGAGAGAGGTGGGGGGCAAAAACAGAGGAGAAAAGAAACAGCAGAAACCACATTGACTGTTACAGTGAAGTCCATACCTTCCGGGCTTTACTCTGATACCTGACTGCTTTCTTGGTTTCAGTCTTTGCCGCTTCAACGTGATCGACTGCTTTACCTACATTCACCTCAATGTTATCAACCATGTTGCCCTGAAACATAAAAAAATATGGGTGAAAAAATTAAACATATGAAAAACACATACAGGGTGTCTTTATCTCTAAAAAAAATACATATCTACAAATACATATACCCAGGTGCACCATGCACACATACAGAGGGGGAGGCCGGGGCTAGTTGTCACACAGGAAAGTAATTCTGAAATTGGTCTTAAAGTGGTAGTTCACCCAAAAATTGAAAAATGTGTTTTCTGTGAAACATAAAAGAAGGTATTTTGAAGAATGTTTGTAACCAAACAGTTAATGGTAAGGAGAAAATTACTAGGGAAGTCAATAGGGACTAGAAACTCTGTGGTTACTCACATTTTTCAAAATAGCTTCTCTTATGTTCAACAGAAGAAAGAAAGATATACAAGTATGAAAAAATTTAAGGGTAAGTAAATGATGACAGAATTTTCATTTTGGGATGAACTATCTCTTTAAGCAGTCAATGTGTTTAAAGATCTTTTTTATTTTCCAGGGCAATGATGATAAACATGTTCAATATATCTTTCTAGTCAGTACTTTGGCTATATAAAAATTGGCTTTTAAAACCAAACCCGCCCTGATTCATTGGAGTAAAAAGAGTGACAACTAGCCCCGGTCTGCCTTATTCAGTGTTGATACTCTGTAGAACAAGGACATGAATAAAATGAATTTTCTAGGGAAATACTAGAAGCTTACCGTTCAGTTTTTTCTCCAATGCAAGCAGTTAATAAGCAAAATAACGGTGGATTGGTTAATCATTTATCAGAACTCTTTAGATTGTGTTGAATTAGCTCTGCTCCAAAACCTAGTGAACTGCCTCACTGTTTATAGTCTACACAGACAAACTGAAATTAGCTAATAAGTGATTGATTTGAAACGCATCTGATGGGCCGCAACCCAGTTAAACACTGTTTATGCACAAAATATGCAATATCATTCAAAGTCTGGGGCCAGTAAAACACTTTTTTTAATAAAGCAATGATGCATTTAATTGGATCAGAAGTGATTTACAAACAATGTTTTCAACAATGATAATAATAAATGTTTTTTTGAGCAGCAAATCAGCATATCAGAATTATTTCTGAAAGATAATGACATAAATTATGTAAACATAAACTTTTATTTTGGATGCGATTAATCGTTTGGCAGCACTAGCTATAAGATAAGGGTGTATTTACACAGCAAGCACAATCACAGGAAACAATGAATAATTCAATACAAAATATCGCTTCCTGTGATGATTCATATCCCAGCTAGAGTGCACATATTTTTTTAATACAGCTTATATGTTGCATTAGAGGTGGACATTATGACCAAAATCTTATTTTGTGCCACTTTAAATCCACAATGTCAAGAATTTTTACAATTACAAAAAATTATTACAATTAAATTACATATTTAATCCTAACTATATTTTTTATAACTTTAATTATAATTTTATTGATATCAAAATAATAATACATGTTACTGATTATTATAAAACGGTTAGTTCCGGTCCTTGATTCTGATTGGTCAGCAGCTGTGTTTTATTCACGATACAGCACGGCTATGACCGCTTCACCCAACAGTTCTGTGTATCACTGAGCAACACCCTTAGCAACAAAAACAATCAATAATATAGCATCAAAACTGTTCCATGTATTATGTATTTCGGCAAAATGAACTGTTTGTTGTTTATTTAATGAAGTATGCGTGACCCCTGCTGGTGATGTTGCATCTTTCATCTTTATTTCTGAGACCATGCACTTCCCCGTCTAATAAATTAAACACTTCTCATGCAGAGATATGTTGATGTGTATGCGCGTCTGTGTGAAAGCCCACAGTTTCCGAAGAAAGAAGGGAATATTACTGTATTTATTAGTTTTCTGTTTCAGGTATGGTTCTGTATGTCCATATGTCCATCAATTTTCACTGTAATGACGCTTGCAAACTCGCCCTGTGCATAGTTCATTTAAACTAAAATATGGAAAACAGACATTTTCTGCTGAGAGACAAGCAGATGTATGTGTGCGAGAAAATATCATACATGGTGTTAAAACAATAAATGACACCGCGGATGATAATAGCTCCTATTCTCTGTTGCTGTCAGGAACTATTTTTTTTTTGCGGAAGAACAGCATTTAACGAACTTGCTTCAAAAAAGTAACATATCAATACATACATTTTGTTATTCATATTGTTTATTGTGTGGTAACCGTTTTATAAAAGCAATAAGGTACTCGAAGCCATGCTGTATTGTGAATCAATCACGTCTGAAAAATAATAACATTTCAGAATTCCAGAAATTTTAAGAGATGAATGTTATTCAGGAATCCTGTGCTTATAAACAATACATTTCCATGACTTTTCCAGTTATTTGTGATTTACTGGATAAGGATTTAAAAATATATATTTTTACTCACAGTTTCTACCCAATAAAATATTTTAAATGTTGGTATAATAAAAAAAAAAAAATACAAAAAAAAGATCACAGGGATTCCACTTCGCTGGTTTGAATTCTATCTCACTGGTAGCTCTTTCAGGGTGGCCTGGGGTGAGGAGGTATCCAAAGCACATCCACTGGTCACTGGGGTTCCTCAGGGATCAGTTCTTGGACCCCTCCTCTTCTCCATATACACTACATCACTGGGACCCATCATACAGGCACATGGCTTCTCCTACCATTGCTATGCTGATGACACACAGCTCTATCTCTCATTTCAACCAGATGATCCAACGGTAGCTGCACGGATCTCAGGCTGCCTGGCAGACATCTCAGCATGGATGAAAGAACATCACCTACAGCTCAACCTGGCAAAGACTGAGCTTCTTGTCTTCCCGGCCACTCCAACTCTACAGCATGATTTCACCATCCAGCTAGGTTCTTCTACAATTACTCCATCAAGTTCGGTCAGAAATATTGGTGTAATCTTTGATGACCAGCTGACCTTCAAAGACCACATTGCAAAGACTGCTCGATCTTGCAGGTTTGCATTGCACATCAGAAAGATCAGGCCCTTCCTAACGGAGCATGCTGCACAACTTCTTATCCAGGCCCTTGCCATTTCTAGGCTGGACTACTGCAATGCTCTTCTGGCTGGACTTCCATCAAGCACAATCAAACCTCTACAAATGATTCAGAATGCAGCGGAACGACTGGTCTTCAACGAGCCCAAAAGAGCCCATGTTACACCTCTCTTTATCTCCTTGCAATGGCTACCGGTTGCGGCTCGCATCAAGTTCATGCTTGCATATAGAACAGCCACAGACTCACCACCTGCCTACTTCCACTCACTACTACAAATCTACATCCCCTCCAGAAGTCTGAGATCCACTAGTGAGCGACGCCTCGTGGTACCATCACAGAGAGGCTCAAAATCACTTTCCAGAACATTCTCATTCACCATTCCTGGCTGGTGGAATGATCTTCCCAACCCTATCCGGAATGCTGATTCCCTTACAATTTTCAAGCGACAGCTGAAAACTCATCTCTTTCGACGCTACTTGATATTATTTAAACCGTTGTTAGGTTAAATAAAATAAGAAATATGTTGATTTGTAGTTGTTTTATCTTATTTTTAAATCATTTTAAGTCATCTTGAGGCTCCCTGGTTGACAACCAAAAAAAAAAAAAGGTACAAAGCTGTCACTGGGATGGGACCCTAAGGTACAAAAGCTAAAGGGTACATCTGATTTTGTATATTATTTAACCCTAGTACATATTAGTACTAAGTGTATATTAGCAGCTAAAGTGTACCTATTAGTATCTTTTAAAAGGCTACGGCCACATTGACAGCTTTGTACCTCTGTTTCTGAGTGCTGGTTTAGATTATGGATCTCTTGCACTGCCTATGGGAGCATGTTATAAGGAAGGGAAAGGTTTTGAATTGACTCCAGTTTTGCCACACACACACGCACACGCATGCATTACCCCCGCTGTGAAAACGGCTGCATTTCCTCCCTCCAGCATCTCCTCCAGCTCCTCATCAGTTGTGGCTTTACCAGCTAGAGCGAGATGTAGAACAAAAGCAAGTCAAAGACAGAAAAGGGGAATAGCACAGTGTCAGTTTGACAGAGTTCAACCACAAGCTTAAGAAAGAAACGTTTTGTACACAGTACACTGTTTGATAAGAGCTGTCTCATGCACTGCTGTTTAGTGAGGAGTGAGTGTGCGGGCCAAACTTACTGATCTCTAATTGTCTCTGAATGCGACCTTTGCTTTTCTCTCTGAAGTCCACCTGAGCTTCATTGTATTTGGTCATCACATCAACAAACTTCCTGGAAAGTACAGCGTGCTGGCAGGGCAACACGAGGGCAGAGTTAATAGAGCGTGTGTATTTGTGTGTGTGTTACGTGAGAGTGAAGTTGACTCACCTGTGATTTGCGTATTCTCAAGTCAGCCGATACTCTTTCCACTTCTTCCATCTCGAGATTCCTTTCAATGGCTGTACAGACAGACAGACAGACAGACACACACACACACACACACACACACACACACACACAGGGTAGTGTTATTATAGTCACAGTAACTAAGACAAAAACTTTAACTATATATATACAGTATATATAATTGATGCGAAAATAACAATGACAGAGAGTAAACATTGCTTTTCTAAAGGTGGATAAATGGCTCACATTATTCTGAGTGTTTGAAAAGCCAAACTTAGTTCTTTGTGGCCTATTTTTATTACCTAACGAGAAAAGCACAAAGCAGGGCAGTATATGTGTAAAGACACTAGCAGGCCTGTATGCATGTAAATACACTTACTCTTCAGTTTGTTACGAGCATTGTTGGCCATTTTCTTTATATCGTTAGTAAGCGCCTCCAAATCATCCTGTGTTTCTGTTCACAGAGAAGAAAACAGAAGTTAAGCAGATAGATAAGAATGGAGACATGAAAAGGAGACTGACTGCTGGTTTGTGTGCGTTTTGTCATTGTTAAACACTCCTAGAGGAATGTTTTATTGCTCAGAGGTTGTTCTTTCTAAGCATAGGAGACTAAATCGAGTTTCATGTACACTACCATTCAAAAGTTTGGGCTCGGGATTTTTCTTTGAAAGAATTCTGTACTGTACAACTTCCTGTAATGTATCATGTCTCATTTAATCGACTTCAATAAAAACTGTTAATAAACAATATGTCCTGTAACACTTACCTCAGGAAAGCCATGCAATATTGATAACTCATTAGTCAACTAGAGAGGAGCATTTTGCTAAATGCACTATACTACATATTCATTATATGTTTACTTAACCTGTTAGCCAGGTCTTGTTAATCTATACTGCCATGAGTGTATGAAAGTTTATATTAAAACTGGTTTGTGTGCAAATTAAATGTTTGTATACAAATCTGTGTCAATACCCAGCCCTAGGTCTCTTTTGATAACATTGATAACATTAAATAATGCATTAGGTATTGTAAATGATTAAAAACATTTTTACAACAATTAATCAGTTGTTCGCTGTTAATACATATTTCTTCGTAATTTATCTAATGCTAACTTATACAGCTTGATAGGTTAAAAATGTATTAGCACATGTAAACTGTAAAAAATATAATTTTATATTAGAACTTGGCAATGTTTTAGGCAACATGACAATGTTTCATGTATTACTGGATAGCATATGGGTTCCTGTGTATTTTACAATGAACAGTAAGTAAATAGCAGAAAATGTGACTCAAAACACCCTAATGTACATTAATGATTCAAAAAATGAGAAGAAACTTTTATTCATTTATATAAGCTGTATTTTTTGGTGTTTTGCCTTTATTTAAATAGGACAGTGTAGTGACAGGAAGTGAATTGAGAAGAGGGGGCGGGATCAGGAAAGCTCCACGAGGCGGGATTCGAACATGACATGTCCTTTTATTGTTTTTCGCTGTAAATTATATGGTCGTTTCCTATGAATTTGACAAAATTTGACAGTATTTTTGTCACAGTTAGTGTACAACGGGGCTAAAGGTATACCTATTCACTGCGCCTGAAATGTATAATTGCAGAAAAAATGCATACATTTGTATTGAACGTTAATGAAACAGCAGATTTTGTGAGAAAATAAATCATACAAGTCATGTATTTTGTTTTAAAATCTTATAAATGTTTGAGGTGGCAAGAGGGGCCTTTTACCCCACACACAGGGGAAAGGCTCAACAGCATGGGGTAAAAGGCACACAGTTTTGATACAAATACTTCAGCTAAAATAATGTTTTTTTTAAATAATGTCTACTGTAAGTTAATACCTGTTCAAAACAATCACTTTAGCAAAGTTTGCACAATTTTATGCTTATTTTGAAAAATAAAAGAATGCATTTTTGTTCAATAAATATACTGTCATTAAAATATGTTAATATAAAAATATATTTCAAAATACAGAAACAAAATAATTTTAAAAAGTAAAGATTCTGAAAGCATTGAAGGAGATCTTATAATAATTGAATATAGATTTACAGTAGTAAAAAAAAAATATATTTGATTATATGATATGATTAATATCATGTTTTTAAATATGAAATGCTTTCATTCTAAACATGGCGATTATCTCTAATATGGACGCCCAACATAATATATGATATTTACCGTCTGAATCTAACCATGTCAACAAATGGAAAAGTCAGCCATCTATTAATTATCATGTTAATTATTGTGCCTTTAGCCCCAACAGCAGGGGCGCTTTTTACCCCAAATACCATACTTTTACATATTCTTTCATTATTTAAACTCTGTTGCTTTAATTATCTTAAACAAAAATCATTAAGAAGACCTTTGTCTCAAAATATATGCATTAATTTGATCGATTCTCATTTGCAACTTAAATCTACTACATTTTAAAAAACATAAAATATTAGATCAAGTAAGCGCAGAATCAACGTTCAAGGATCAGACAAATATACACGTGCATCTTGAAAAGTGAATGTTTTGGAAAGTGCTACGCCACGTTTTTGTGCCATCTAGTGGTTTAGATGAAAATAATATCACAGGCGCCTTTTACCCCGGGGCGCCTTTAGCCCCATTGTACCCTATGTTTAGTTAGTTTCATTTTCATGGCTTTTAGTTTTTCTCATCACCTTATCGTCACTTTCCTGTTTCCTTTTTCTAGCTTCTTGCCATTCATCACACTCATTAATCATCACAGCTGTTTGTCATTTTTGGTTCATCATCTCTGTGTATTTAAGTTCCTCTTAGTTTTCTGTTCATTGTTGGTTATTGTTTTGTACACACTGTTACACGTTTGGACATTGCTCATTAAAATGACCATTGTTTTGTAACTTTTGCCTTTTCTTCATCTTTGGAACTTGCTAAAACGTGACAATTTTACAGCAAAATTTACATATAATGCTATGTTAAACCAATGACAATTTTTCACTATCTATTTGGTAAGGTAACAGTTAATCAATTAACACGTTTTTAATGTAACATTTTTACAGTTTTTTAAGAGATGTGCTGTTCTAAACATTTTTACAGTGCTAAAATGAACATTTAGCAAATGCAGCAAAAATATTGTTGATTGTTAGTTCATGTTAACTATTGCATGAACTAATACTAATGAACAGAACTTTATTGTTAAGTGTTACACTAAAGCATTAACACTACACACTAGTTGTTATATAACAACAGTACTACAGTATATGACTCATGTTCAATAGACCTCAAAATCTATTTCACCTGTTACTACCAGAAAGTGGAAAACAATGCTGAACTGGGTCAAAAAGCCCACAATGAGTGCACATGTGAACGTCTCTTACTCTGGTCAGATGTTGGTGCAGAAAGAATAACTGAGTAAAGTTTCTTCACTTCGGCCACATTCTCATCGATCTTATTAATGCTGTTCCTGATGTCTTCAATCTGAAACAAGCAAATAAAGGTAACTTAAAATGCACAAACACCACAGTGGCACACATTCATAATAAAGCACATCAAAAGTGTTTTCACAAACACACACTGTAAAACACACAGAAGGACATGCCTGGGAGAAGAACTCATCCATAAATGCAGGGTTGTCCACGGCGATCTCAACATCTTCATCATCATGATCGCATGTCTGAAACATAAAACAAGAAGTGCTTTACATTATGTATATTTTTTATTATTACCATACTGGGAACAGGCCACAAACAGAGGCTGTGACATGTGACGCAATATGTAGAAGATACTTGTAAGGAGATAAGAAAATGTCATGTAAAGAAATAAGGAAATATAATTTGTTTTAATGATCTCATGCTGTTTTTCTATACACCCTTATATTGATATGACTGGTAAGTAAATCACTCTCACTAATTTACTGTCTATACACAGTGCAAAATTAGTTACTAAATTACAATTTAATACACATTTAGAAAGATATTTAAAGGGGTAGTTCACCCAAAAATAAATATTCTCTAATCATTTAAACACATTTAAATTGTTCCAAACCTGTATGAGTTTCTTTTTTCTGTTGTGCACAAAAGAAGATATTTTGAGTAACCACACAGCTGCTGGTACCCATTGACTTATATAACAATAATTGCTTGTTGTGGTAGATAATCCTAATTTTACTTCTAGCATTTAACCCTTTCAAACCCTTTTTCAGATAGGTAATAAGCTAACTTATTCAAAATCACAGATAGATTGCTAACAAATCAAAAGTGACCCATCTCATATTTATGAAACATGATCATAAAAACCATGACATGAATCAGTAAAACACATCATAGCAATCAGACAGCCATGTGTCATCTTGTTGAAAAGGGCCCAACTGCTAGAATTCCATGCACAACAAGTGTTTTTTATAAATAAATGCTATTAAATAAATAAATTGGTAAATAATACATATTTTGAATTAGCTTTTTTGTATTTTCAGTTCCCTTTCGAATGGTCTCTCCCATTGCGTGAGACGCTAAGGGCAAAACTCCTGTTTTACTCTGTACTGAAGCCTGAATTGTTCACGTTTGTGTAGCTGCACAAACCAATGGCGCTTTAGCCCGTTAGAAAGGGCGGAGCCGACCCTTATATAAGTCGGCTCAGAGCACCATTCTTTAGATCATTCTCCTTCAGCGACGAGGATAATCTCTTCGCTGACTCTGGAAGAAGCCGAACCCTGAGGAAGAAGAAGCTCCAGCTCTGCTCGCTGCCGTCGAAGATGCCCAAGCAGCGAGCAATCCCTGCGGCCATCCGGCGCATGAAGAGCAAACCAGAGAGCGAATTTCCTAAAGAGCAAATTTCAGCACGCGTTGTTGCAAATGTCGCGGCGCGAGTGTGGCTCATGCAAGGATCCCTTGCATGAGATGGACGGGCACAGTGAGTGCGTTGCCTGTCTCGGCAGCGCCCATGCAGAGGCTGCGCTCATTGAAGGCTCATGCTCCCATTGCGAGAGTATGAGTCTTTCCCATCTCCGCTCGCGGATCGCATTTTTTCACAAAGGCCGTCCCCCTCGCTCAGCTCTCCCGTTTCCTTTCTCTCCTAAGAGAAAGAAACAGCGGAGCAGCAGGTCCTTCTCAGCGGGTTTGAGCGATGTCACGTCGGCTCAGTGCCCGCATGCCCCGCGTCCTCTCGTCTCGCCGGTGTGTTTCAGACAAGAAGACCAGCGCCCCTCTTCGGCTGCGAGCGGCTTGGTCTCTTTCGGTGCATCTGAAGAGGACATCATCAATGAGGACGTTATCGCCGATGACTCGTCCTTGACAGCATCTGATGCAGAAGAGTGGGGAGCTTCCGAAGGAGAGCCCGAAGTACTTCTCCCTTCTCAAACTCTGATGCCGAAACTGGACGCCAAACTCATCTGAGTCCTTGTCGAAGGCGGTAGAGGATCTGGGCCTCAAGTGGTCAGCTCCGGAAGAGCCCGCCCACAGCCTGTTAGACAAGTGGTACCTGCCGGGAAGCCATCAACAGTCTTTGACCCGAGTAAATCCCCCTACAGCTTTCACCACCATTGACAGCGCTGACGACAAGGGATACAGCAAGCTCCCCCTTCTGGAGCATCCCTCTAAGCCCTGCAGGACCACATCTGCGCTCGCCAATAGGGCTTATGCAGTGGCCGGCCAGGCCGGGTCAGCGCTGCATACAATGGCGGTTCTCCAAGTGTTTCAAGCCAAGCTTCTCCGCAGTATGGATGAGTCTGGCCAAGAACACCAGGAGGCTTTCAAAGAGCTGCGCACAGCAACAGACTCTGGTTAAACCTCACTGAGATCAGGGACACTGAGAAGATGGCTTTCCTCGACTCGCTGGTCTCGCCGAAGGGCCTGTTTGGCCTCGCTGGGGATGGGTTTGCAGAAAGGTTTTCGGAGGCTCAGAAGACGTCGCAGGCGCTGCATCACTTCCTCCCCAAGCACCCTGGCCCCGCAGCTGCGGGCCGCCAGAAGAATCCTGCCACTCAGCCTGCAAAGCCGGTGCAGCCTCAGCCTCAATGGAAATCTGAGCCTTGGCTGCAGTAGCACCCCCGGACGGCGAACCGATTCCCCTTTCCAAAGTGTCAAGGTTCCCGCCCACGAGTTGTACTGGACCCCGAGCCACCAAAGCCATCCTTATGCGCTAGAGAGGAAGAGGAAGAGGAGGGGCTCTGTTCTCGCCTCGGCCAGAACGCCCCGCAAAACAGCTTGCTTTCATCTTCCATTCCTCCGACCACCAGTTTCGTTTCCAGCGTGTCACGTCCTGCAGGTGCAGCGCGTACCCGAATGTTTTACTGATGTGATAGCGGACCCACATACAATAAAGAGCTATTTCTTCACACTCTCTCACACACTCACGTGAATGCAAGTTCCCCACCTTCTCTCGGCGAGCTCTCATTCGCAAAAAAAAAATAAACCCTCTCCCCTCCCGTTTCACGGCTTGGGCAGTGTAAGCGACACAGCAGTCAAAAAAATAGTAGGGCATAGGAAAAACGAGCTTCCCAAACAAACAATCTTTTTAATGAATCAAAACAAACCTTCACAAGTTTAAAGCAGAAAATCTAAATTCAAAGAAATCAAATAAACTGACTTTTTTAGCCGCTACTTCTTCGTTCCAAAGAGAGATGGCGGGCTCAGACTCATTCTGGATCGCAGACGTCTGAACCACTCGCTTATGCGCCGGTTGTTCAAGATGTTAACTATCAAACAGATCCTCGCACACATTTGCCCCAAAGACTGGTTTTTGAAAGTGGGCGCTACACCCTTAAACGGTTCAAGAGATTTGGTCAGTCTTCAGAAGGGCAGAGGTCGACCTCTTTGCCTCAGAAGACAACTCTTACTGCCCAACATACTTCTCAATACAGCGAGATGCTCTGGCCCACGACTGGCCCAGTGCTCGCCTATATGCTTTTCTCCCGATCGCCCTGATTCCTCAGGTCATCAGGCGGGTCAGGGAGACCAAGTGCTCTCTCCTCCTAGTGGCCCCGCTCTGGAGGAACCAGGCCTGGTTCCCAGAGCTAGTGCAGCTCTCAGCAGCAGCCTCGTGGCCCATTCCGCTGAGGAGGAACCTTCTCTTGCAGGCAAAAGGCATGATTTGGCATCCCTGGCCGGAGCTGTGGAGCCTTCATGTATGGTGCCTCGACGCAAGATGACTTTACAGCCTAAAATGGTCGGTCTTCCTTAACTGGTATTCTGCAAGAAGTTTGGACCCGTTTGTCCATGCTCAAAGTGTATGTGGCAGCTATCGCAGCGAACCATTCTCTCGAAGCTGGCCAATCGATCGTCAGAAACGACCTGATCGTTAAGTTCTTAATAAAGAAAAATGTGTAAAAAGTAGCACAGATGGAATGCAAAAAGAATGGATATTTTGGGTTATTTTGCTTATTGCTTACTAAAACATGAACGGAATTTGGCTTAAAAAGACACATTTTTACTTACATCAGATGATCTGATTAAAACAACCCGAAGCAAAGCACAACATGGTGCATGGATCCTAAATAAATACTCAAAAAGTAAAAAAACAAACCAACATGGCTAAAACAAGGGATATTTCCAGGTCACGCTGTACATAGTCACTGATGCATATGGTACCTGTATTAATAATAACTGAATATGTTATCAATGAATGACATATTCGTCATCAATATATTGTTTACCTCTTGTAAAGTCACAAGTTTATAGTCTAGTTCTCTTTAGATTTGGGTTATTTTATGTTTAGTTAATGGGTTTTGTTACTAAAATGCACTTTAAGAACATGGTTCTTACATTGATCGTCACATAAACATCCGGTATTACAGGGCTCTGCTGACGAGGCACATTGTAAGCTGCCGTGAATCAACAGAAGGACTGCTGGATTAGCAAATCTACATTTTATTGCGTGTAAATTTTATTAGTGCTTCTCAGCTACTAGCTTGAGGCACAATTAGGGCTGGGCGATATAGCTAAAAAATGTATCAACAATATAATTTTTCATATTGTTTGGTATCGATAATTATTTACATTTTTTATAACCTTTTTTAATTAAAAAAATTTTTTTTTTTTAATTTAACCACTGTATTTATAATTAACACAATTTATTGAGACAAACAACAAATATTTTTTGTTTTAACAATCAAACACAATAAAAAAATTAAACAAATATCTAATTTCTAATGTTTTATATGCAGATTAAATAGGTCTTTATTGTATAGGTCTAATTGTCTCCCGAGGCCACAGGAGGGCGCAATGAGCAAAATAATGCAGCGAAACAATACATATACAAATACATTTAGAAAGTAACTATAAAAATGTGCACTACGTCTAAATTAAGTCATAAAAATCAAATATAATTTTGCATATTGCATAAACAATTATGAACAAAACAACATCATGTATTTATGCATTGTTTAATCCAAAGAGCCGAAGCGGCATTCACACAGACTGCATTTAAAAACATATGGCGCTCTGAGCCGACTTATATAAGGGTCGGCTCCGCCCTTTCTGGCAGGCTAAAGCACCATCAGTTTGTGCAGCTAACCAAACATAAACAAATCAGGCTTCAGCACAGAGTAAAACAGGAGTTTTCCCTTTAGCATCTCATGCAATGCTTGTTCCCTTTTTTTTTTTTTAAAGTTGTAACTTTTTTTTTTTTCCTGTTTTAGTAATCTTGTTAGGTGCATTTATCATTTTTATAAATCTAGTG